TGTGCTAGGAGCTCCATGAGCCCCACCTCCATCCCACCTCCATCCCACCTCCATCCCACCTCCATCCCACCTCCATCCCACTGTTCTTTGGTAGCTCACAGTGTGCCCCAGATGTTTTTACACAGGTGTTATTCCTTGATTGGTTTGGTTTGGCTCTGCTTTTCAGGCAGAACAGCCCACGGCCTTAAGGGGCGTGATTGCCTCTACTTAAAGTCTCAATGAGTTTTTGGAGACTTCCTCCAGAAGATCACTTCAAGATCACTCTATTGTATCAAATCGCTGATTAGTGTATCTAGAGGGTTTGATTGTAGATAATTTGATTTCCACTGGAAAGAAAAATCGACAGAATGGATTTAGGAAAGGAAAAATCAGAAGAAAAGCCTATGTGCAGAGTCAAAGTGCAACAGATAGACTTCATAAAGCAAGTCGTAGTTGTCCACTGCCATAATTGAATGAATGTTTGCAAATATCTGTTAATGAATATTTATGTCCAGAGGATTCTTGACTAAAATAAACTGAAAAATAGTCTTTGCACATGCAGAAACTTTGATCTGGTAAGATTCGTGAGATTTCTGATGCTCCATGTCTCCAGTCACTGTGGAGATAATCTCTTGGCTTTTTCTTGTTCTGGTTTGGTTTCTAAGTAAATAATCACACAAATTGGGAAATGAAAATATCCTGTGGGATTGTAAACTACAGGGAGGATGTTAAAGGTTGAGCTCGGGTTTGGTTAGATCTGTTGGGCTGACGTCTATTCTCTTGGAAAACTTTTTAAAAATCCAGTTGAACTGGGAGGGGTCTGTAAAGGGCCATTTTGCAATGTCCAGGGCATTCCCAGCTCTGAGCGAGGGCGGTGGTGAGTGTCCCAGCTCACGCTAGGGGTGATTTCCTAATGGGCCAAGGAAGGGACCACGCTGCGGTTGAAGAAGGCTCATTTCAGCAAACGGTGGTGGCCAACAGCCTTTTCCAATATTTTTCCATGTCGTGTTCCAACCAGGACTAGCAGGTTCCAAAAATCCTCTTGAAGCTGCCTTTGTTTTATGGTTTCCGTAGGAATCCTGGTATAACAGAAAGGAAATATTTTCTTTCTGTTGGTTACCTCTCGGATAAAGCGTGAAGGATTAGAGCACTCGTCATTACTGTTCTCTCTTAAGCAGAAGAAAGGACAAGAAGCCTGTCAGAACCTTAGTCATTGATTTTCCTGGAGCAAAGGGTCACATGTTAAGTACTGTTGATAAAAAGCATCGTTGCGGTGTCCATGGAGACCAGGTTGAGGTGAAAGTGAACTGTTACCGTTACAGTGACAGCTTTAGGTGGATCTGTAAAGAACCTGTTTTTTCCTCTAATCATAAGGAAGATCTTATTTATTCTGCCTTGAGCATTGAATCCAACCCGTGGCTTCGGTGAGACCTCCTGTGCCGGGAGATGCAGTCATTGTTGGCTTCAAGGCAGAGGAAAGGATATTTGGGGCCTCATAAAAAAAACTGCTCAGCACTTGCAGGTGTCGCAGCTCCAAGTGCTTGGATGCTTCTGCTGGAACTCTTCTTTTTCTTTGATTAATCAAATTAGTATCGAGTTCAGGCTAGAAATAGTATGGCTGCAGTAGTTCCTTTTATACCTAAAAACTATATATGTATAAATCTCATGAGTAATTGTACACGTGGAGTGGTACGGCTGTGTGCGACAGGCTTTGTCCTCTGCTGTGTTTGGGCACGTCCTTGGAGAAGGTGGTTGGACTCTGCGACCCTGATGCCTGCGTGCCCTTCCTTTGGGAGCCTTCAGAGTTTTCTCTGCTCAGAAAGGTAGGACCAGTGCTGCGCGGTCAGGGTCCTGCATGGAGCACCCAAGCTCATGCACCCTTGTGAAGAAATGGCTTGAGAGAGTCTGGAGCCACTCCTGCTCCAGTTCCAAAACGATTATACCATCTATAAGGCTGTTAAATGGTTACTGACTGCCCCCCTTGAGCGGTTAAACCACCCCAATGGTAGATCCATTGCTTGAGTATTGTTCCATTTGCAAGAAGCTCTTTTCTTTGGGTTGATGCTGGCCTGGAGAACCCTTCCTCTGAATGAGCATAACTAACACTATTCCTACCTCTCCTAGAGGACAACAAGTTGTCTTGGGGCCTCCTAGCTGGTTTAGCTCACACGCAGCTCAGCAGTCTTTTTTTGTTTGAAATAAAGGGACAACACAGAGCCTGTGGTTTGGAAATGATGGTGGACCACCCAAAGATCCACTCAAAAGTCTGGGTCATTGGAAGGTCTTCCAAATTATGGGATTTCTTTCAAAATCCACCTGTGGTTTCTATCAGCTGATTCAGTTCTAAATTTTCTACAAGCGGCACCTTTGGGTAAAAGTTGGCGTTACTGTACTTTCCAAGCTGAGGGACCGGGGCGATTTGTCCCTTCTGGTGGGATTTCTCAATGCACCAATCATTCCTGTAACCACCCACCTACATGAGCTGTGCAGCATGTCTCTGAAAGCATTCCTATCCCTCTACTTCTTTATTGTTTCTTCTCCATACTTTTTTTTTCCCCTGGATGGGGGCAGCTGGGATTTCAAAAGAGCTTTTCTTGGTGCGCTTGGAAGGGGCAGGGGAAAGATGGAGCTGGTCTTTCCTCCTCGTCTCTGAGAAAATATCCAAATGCTCTGCTGTCTTCTACACCTGGGAAATGGGGCAAAGTGGGCTGGAACGTACACGGATGCTGAGGGTAGAAGGTACATGGATGCTGAGGTCCATGTGAGCAGAGCGTGGTTCAGTGTTGGGCAGAGATTGGGAGAGTTGGGAGCGCACCAGTATAAAACAATGAGTTCCCTGTAGACATCCTCAGAGCTGTCAACAGAAATAGGTTTTAAAGCCACTCTCTGGGTGTTTGCATTCTCCCGTAAACATTTTATATGTAGGCAATTTCAATATGCAAAGTGACCAAATCTGTTTTTAAAGCAATCGCTCGCTGGTTTGAAAAATGGAGTTTATGCTGCCCTAGTGCAAAAAACCCTCGGCATTATTTCACTCAGCGATGAAAACCTGAAGTATTGATTTTGAAATGTATAATTGATTGTAACAATAAATCACTGGGCAATATATGTGCGAAATTGATTTTTTTTTTCTATTGCAATAATTAATTTGATATGTGCTATAACATATTTATGCAGGGACTAAGCAACTCAATGATGGTAATAAATTGTATTTGGTCAAAAACTACCCACTGTGATGGGGGCCACCGTTCTCTTTGTCTAAAAATTTGTAATACAGAGCTGTAAAAGGTAGCGTAGACAGAACTGTGCGGTCTTGCTCCATGAGAAACCCTTAATACCCCGAATACCTTATATCGTGCCGAGTAAAAACACTCGGAGGATTGGAGACTTGCAAGGAACAGCTGGTGCCCAGATTGTTTTAGCAGAGAAATGTTGATATCGGCTCTCTTATCAGTCCAACCCGGTAAATCTGGTGGTTTTTCCTGGACAAATTGGTAGAAACTGTTATAGAGAATAGAATGAATAGACATATGGACGAACATGATATGACGAGGAGGGATCAATACAGCTTTTGTGGAGGAAATTCCTGCTTCTCAGGCCTATTAAAGTCCTTTGAAGGAGTCCTTGAGCACGTGGGCAAGGAGATCCGGTTGATATTGTTGGCTTGGGTTTTCTAAAGCCTTTTGCTAAGATCCTTCACAAAAGGCTCCCGAAGAAACGATGTTTTTGCAGTAGGAACAAAGATCTCTTTGTGATAAGACATGGATGTGATAGAGAACAAAGGATGGAGAGAGGTGTTGGCACGTCTCGGCTGAGGAGCGCCGGTGGTGGCGCACCCAGTGATGTGTGCCACGCTGGCTAGTGCGCAGGAGACAAGGGTTAGCAATTTAGTGTAGCACCACCGAAAGCCGATTGCTAAAAAGCCTGGGAGAGAAAAGACTAAATGAAATTCCGCATGGTTAAATGGAAAGAGACGCGGAGAAAACAGGCGGACCCGCTGCTGTGCCCTGAACGAGCTGCTGCTGTTGGGAAGGAGGTCTTGCTGTTTAACATCTGGAAGCACAGTGGTCTGCGGCGGTAAAAGCACCGCTGAGGGTTGAGGTTTATTGGAGAATGAACGGGGTTGAAAAGAAAACAATTGTTGGAGCGCTGCACAAACCTGTCGTGCGCCCTCCACCAAGGCGGCAAGGAGGAGAAGGCAGTGGGAATGGCCAAGTGCGTGGACTGGCTTCTCCATCCCAGTGACAAGGTGCCTTCAGAGCTTTCTCCAAGGAGAGCGGTGGCAGAGACGGGTGTCTGGCGATGTAGGGATGTCTCAGGAGCCATCAAGAAGGGACGGTCTCAGTTTGGGTATGAGGCTGAGAGAAGATCCCTCATGCTATCTAGCGAGCAACGTTTAGAAGAAATTAAGTGATTGGTTGTGGTTAATTGCGTCGCTGCTGACGGCGGCAAGTAGCTCAGCAAAAACACTCTTACGTGTTGGGTTCGGCAATAAGTTTGTTTGCAAGAGGTTTGAATTTCTTTACGTTGGTATAACGAGGGTGTGGTAACGTCTCCGTTGAACGTCTGTGGAATTGATATGGCACAGAACTGTTAGAACCGCTCAGGTTGATATTTGTATCCCACAGTCAAAAAGAGGTGACTTCGGCACTTTGGGCTGAAAAGCGGTAGGAGTTGCAGAGTCGACTCAATCCCAGAGCTGACGTTTATAGTACCCCAGGTATTCTAGCAGCCTGTCGAAATGAAAAATACCCCAAAAGGGAGAAAATTTACTATAGAAATCCATTGTCTATATAGCCGGGCACTGCTAGATAATGTATAGTTTTCTTTATGCCACTTTGAGTCTTTTTAGATTCGATTTGGTTTTCTCCTCAAAATAATAACTTAGTTGTATAGATGTTGTTATTAGAAAAACATAGCCTTTTTCTTTTTCCTTTTTTTTAATTCATTTTACATGCTTTATTTCTGTCATTTCTTTGCGGGGAAAAAAAAATCAACAAAAAATATCTCTTCTTTTACAGAGCATCAAAGTTAGCTGGTTGCCTCCACCACCAGGTACTCAAAATGGATTTATTACGGGCTATAAAATCCGACACAGAAAGACTACCCGCAGGGGTGAGATTGAAACACTGGAGCCAAACAACCTCTGGTACTTGTTCACAGGTCAGTGTTTACATGGTACAGCCTTGCAAGGTTTTGATGAATTAAATGCTTTGGGAATAAAATATACTTTCACTTGAAGGGAACATTGATTTTGGTGCTGGCAGGTAGCATTTATTGTGTTCTACAAAGGCGGTCTTTATGGTGGTATTTTTAAACCAGTTTTTTCCTTAATGCTTTTATCATATGTTTGTCTCCTGGATTTTATCACTAATGAATCTGAACCCAAATTTTTTGTGTCCAGTATCTTCAGCCTCAGGTGGTTTCTTAGAGCGCTCAGTCAACGTCTCCTATTTTCTCATGGAGGGGCAAAAATATCGATTTTCCTAGTTTCTTTTCCAAGGTTTTCCATGGAAAATATCTCCTCCCAGAATAAGAAGTTCAACACTAGATTATAGCAAAACTGTAATTGCGATGAATTAAAGTAGCCAGAGGAGTAACAGGGATTTCTGGTAGGTGACGATGAATGCCACCTGTGTTCTTGCATTATGCCCAAGACATAACTGAGAGTGCGGCAAAGCATCGAGGGAGAAAATTAAACTTTGTCAAAGTTGATGGCACCTTCGTGTCTGAATTCGGTGCAATCATGATTTCACCTCAAATGACCTGCACTGTGTTCACTTTCACATGTGAAGTGTAACCCATGAGAACTGGAAGTAATTCTGAATTGTATAGTTCAGAAGAAACAATATTGTTCACTGGTTTGGAAGGAAAAGCGGTATTTTGTTGCAAAATTAAATAAAAGCAAAAGTACCACGTTTTCTATGAGGAAGACCTTAAATATCAAAATCTCAACTTCGTCATCATCAACTAGGCTCTTGACCAAGGTCCTTGTGGGACCTTAAATATCAAAATCTCAACTTGGTCATCATCAACTAGGCTTTTGACCATGGTCCCCATGGTCCCTTGGGACCTTAAATATCAAAATCTCAACTTGGTCATCATCAACTAGGCTCTTGACTAAGGTCCCCGTGGGACCTCTTGTGACGGCTACATAACTAAGAGCTGCAAACAAACGGGGCGATAGCACCTTAAGCACATTAGACAGGTTGGAAAGGGTCTATTTTCTGGCAGATAAAGTGAAATAATGATGAAAGCTGCTCCGATGTTTGAGTTGCTGCTGCTCTGATGGCTCAGAGACGAAAACACAGCCATGTGGTTGAAGTCCCAGAGCAAAGGCACGGAGCTCCGTAGCTCCACTGCCGCCATCCCTGCAGGTCCCAGCCCTGTGGGAGCAGAGCAGATTTCAACTCTATCGCGGCAGATCCCCACGTCCTGAGCAAACTCCTTCTTTCACATGAATTATTCCAGTCTTGGAGAGCTACGGGAGAACTGATGGGACTGCGGGCTGCCGGCAGCCCTGGCCCTGCCTGCCACTGCCTCCCTGCAGCCCAAAGTGAAGGGCTTTGGTTTGTGGACCTTGGGAATACATGTTGTAGAAAGCAATTAAGAAAACTATCCCGATCCCGTTATTACTTTCTGCGTGCGTACATTGTGATTGCTGGTGACCGAGCTACGTGGCTCTTCCAAATGGTTATTTTAAATGTTAACGTGGAGGCACATCTTTGCTGCAATGCTGTTCGGTAGGAAGGTCCTTTATGGGATAATAAGAACATCTGCAACAGCGGAGTTGAGAGTTACAATGTGGGTTTTTAAGTAGCCGCTATCAATTTTAGCGTAGGCTTCCACGTCGGCTAAATGTTATGCTGCTCTTTTTAATTATGAGCGTTCTTCTTCGGAGAACGTTTGCAATTATATGAAACAGGTTTGTTTTTTTTTTTTTTTCCCCTGTGCTTTCTGGTCAGTATAGACTGAGCAGAAAGATAAACCTATATCCCCGCCTCAGGGACCTGGAAGTATTACAGCACATTCAGGAACACTGCTGTAATTGTTTTCTGATGGCTTTAGCTACAGAAGAAAACGTCTTGTTTCTGAATTCCTGCTTATTTCATAATATTGGCACGACTTGATGTTTTTTTCCCCAAACCGGTCTTCCATTGATTTTGTATGTACAACTGCAACCGATGGGAATTATGACCCGAACTAGTCCTGGGCTATTGCAGCCCTCATTCAAGTTTTGAAACATTTCTTTTGGTTAAAAAAAGTTTCTTTTCCCACATGAATACCGCCCTCCCCATGGAGCTGTGCTGCTGTGGCCCCGCGTGGGCACCGCATGGTAGGCGCTGCCCGTCCGGTGTCCCTGCGTACGTCTGCCGTACAGCGCAGGGCTGCGAACCGGGCAGCGAGAGGCTGCCGCGTGCTGGGGGAACGCGTTTCTGTAGATTTGCATGTCTATTTTCTGTATATATGCGTTTCTATATATTTCCTTGCATGTGGCAAATCCAATGGACTGTTATTAGAGATCTCATTTTACAGAAAGTCTATTGCAAACTCTGCCATTGTCGCTAATTTGTTTGGGTTTTTTTTCTTCATCTTCTTTCCATATGATTTTTATTTACTTATTTATTCATTTTCTTTAAACAGGACTTGAGAAAGGAAGCCAGTACAGTTTCCAGGTGGCTGCCATGACAGTGAATGGCACGGGGCCGCCCTCGGACTGGTACACAGCGGAAACACCTGAAAACGATCTGGACGGTAAATGCATCTCTTTTGAAAGCTGTTCTCTCTGAAAGCTTTCTAGCTGAGGGGTGTCACTGCGGTTGTCACCCAGGCTGAGGTCAGGGTGAGATGTGCGGGGTCTAAACACCCACCAACGGATGGGTTTTATACTCCTGGGTCCAATGTGCCTTGGGTTCTGTTTCTCTGTCATCACCAGGACCAAGGAGTTGGCAACCTTTTTTTTTTTTGTTTGTTTAAAAATAATTCCCAGCCAGAATGTAGCTCTTGAGCATCATGGCCATGCGCAATAATGTGCTGAAGCGAATATGTAACTTCATAAACGATAAACATAATCAATCAAAGAAACAACGGAAGCAATGCCAACAATCCTAACAATTCGCTAAGCAAATGTGCAAAAAGGTCAAATCCTGTTTCCCAGCCTTTGTTTGCAGTCGTTAGAAATGCAAGTTGGCAACGAAGGTGAATAATTAGAGAAAGATGATGGGATGCAGATACCTGAAAACCGTGGGCTGTATAAATCAGGGCAAATGCTGACACAAAAGGGAAGGGAAAACACTGAAATGAAAGGGTTAGAGAAAATAACTGGAATATTTGAAGTAGTAAAGGAATAAAAGGAGACTAATGAAAAAGTCTACCTAAAAAAAAAAAATTAAACCGAGTGCAAATCAAACGGAACAAAGAATCTGACAGATGGAAGTCACGGCAAAACTACAGACAATCCATAAGAAGCAAGTATGTAGTGGAAAGGAGATGAATAGAAAATAAAAGGGAACTGATGAAAATTGCCATGATTTTTAAAACAAAATAAACCACCTAAAAAGGATCAAAGGCGAGCTGGATGAAAGAATAAATAAATAATCAGTTTAAATGCACCGTAGTACTTGATGTTGCCTTTCTTTTGACTGGCCGGATTTCCTTATGATCTCAAAATCAACCCTGGCAAATTGAAGAATTTCTGCCTTTTCCCGATGGCCAAATGCAATTTTCCAGCAGACGGGACGTGCCTGCGGTGCGTGACACGTGGGAAGGGGAGAACAGGTACCTGTGGTTTCTCAGCAAAGTTTTGAAGAAAAGATGATAATTCTTGACGCGGTGTAACTATACCGACAGATCGCAACATGCGGCGGCGCATGGTGATATCTTTACACTTGGTGTAGACAGCGATTTGAGAAGGGATGCTGTTAGGGTGTAAAAGCTGCCTTTCACTGGAGAGGGTCAAAGATAAATTCTGAACACACTGCGGTACGCACCAAGAAAGTAACGTGTCAGAGCACGTGTCTCCCCGGAGCCTTCTCTTCTCCAGGCTGAACCCCCCCGACTCTCCCAGCCTGTCCTCCCAGCAGAGGTTCTCCAGCCCTCGCAGCATCTCCATGCCCTCCTCTGGCCCCGCTCCAACAGGTCCATGTCCTTATGTTGGGGGCTCCAGAGCTGGAGTCAGTCCTCCAGGTGGGGTCTCCCCAGAGCAGAGTAGAGGGGCAGAATCCCCCCCTCGCCCTGCTGGCCACACTTCTTCTGATGCAGCCCGGGATGCATGGGGCTTTCCGGGCTGCGATTGCACATTGCCGGCTCACGTTGAAGTTCTCATCGATCAGCACCCCCAGGTCCTTCTCCTCAGGGCTGCTCTCCAGCCATTCCTCACCCAGCATGTAATCGATGAGTAATCCCAGGAGACGCACGATGGAAGTGGGTGCATGCGAATAAATCCAAGCAAAGCCATTTTGTTCATGTCTTGCATTTCCATGCATTTGCATTTGCAGCAGGGATGAGTTATCCTCGTGAAGCTGCAGCAGCCTGATGCTGGGAACGCATTGTGTTGTGTACTAGATATGAACGCTCTGATAAACCCTGGGGGAAAAAAAATCAGCTTATTCCTGTAGTTCCAGAGTCCTGCAAGTGTCGGCTAGCCAGGGGAGGGCTGGAGCACAGGCTGGTCACTGCAGTCCCCTCTGCCACTTTGGTAAAGCACATCCTCCTGCTTTAACTCGAATCCTGGTTGGCATCAGCAACACGAAGACGAACAGTATCCTGGAGTACGGCGTCAACTCCCGATGGATATTCATTTTAATTAGTGTGGTTTGATACAGTGATTAGAAATCCAAACATAGCTGCTTCTTCAAGGTTCCCTAGAAAGCTCGCCTGCCTTTACTAACAGCTGGGAAGGTTATAAATATTTATTTTAAGCTTCAAATTTTTGCGCTTTAAAAAGCAAAACAAAAACAAAAAAAGAAATTGAAAGCAGTGCTTTCCCCGAAGGGGCTGTTTTAAATAGCTTGAGCAAGGATGCAAGAGAATCTCTGATCAACTTTGCGGAGGTATCCTCCAGGAAAATAGGTTTGGGATGCTTGGTTTCTGATTACTGCATTGAACAGATGGAAGTTGTTATACATATTAGATAGCGATATAGTTTAGCTTCATCTGTAAATTAGTGCTCTAAGAGCATGACAAGCTAGACTGCTATCGTACTGTAATTTATACCGAAAAGTGATTGGGGAAATAAGCGAACAAAATGGGATGAGTAAAAATTACCCCGACTTTGTAAAATATACACCTTTGAATGGCGAAGAAAATTGCTGAAGTGACCCAAAGGTAAAGCATTTTTCGAGGTTGACAGTGGAATTAGGGACCTCTAAGAAGCACCAAGTGCGGTATTCTCTGGATGGAAGATGTGGGTGCTCAAGCCATCGCACAGAAACACAGTGAAGGACTCGGAGGCACGTGCGAGCAGACGTGGCATCCCAGGAGATGCGACACCAGGCAGTGACACAGAGTTTCAGCTTCTGTTTCCTGGGAACCTCCTTGTCCACAAGGGAAGAGAGGAAGAAATACTGCACCAAGAAATCTCGTGGTGCAGTTAAGAGGGGGGACCATAAATTTGGCTGCTTTGGGACTTAGGATGAAGAACTCATTCAGCACTTCGTGTAGAGGAATGAGATCTGAAGATTGCTTTTCAGAAGTAGTTCTGGCATCATGTTCCGGCCCAGGAGAAACAAAAGTAAATGTATTGATCTAGAACTGCCAAGAAACGGCCTGACCAAGAAAGCAGAAATATGAGATCATAGAATCGTTATGGCTGGAAAAGACCTTTAAGATCATCAAGTCCAACCATTATCTAACTCAACCGGGCCCACTTCTAAACCGTGGCCCTGAGCACCGTAACTAGATGGCTTTTGAACATATCCAAGGACGGCGATTCAACCCCTTCCCTGGGCAGCCTGTGCCAGTCTTTGATAACCCTTTCAGTGTAGAAGTTTTTCCTAGTCCCTCAGCCACTCCTCATAAGACTTATTCTCAAGGCCCTTCACCGGCTTCATTGCCCTTCTCTGGACCCCTTCCAGCACTTCCATGTCCTCCTTATACTGCGGTGCCCAAAATTGAACACAGCACTCGAGGTGGGGCCTCACCAGTGCCAAGTACAGTGGGACAATCACTGCCCTAGTCCTGCTGGCCACAGTATTCCTGATGCAGGCCAGGATGCCCTTGGCCTTCTTGTCCACCTGGGCATACTGCTGGCTCATCTTCAGCCGGCTGTTGAGCAACATCCTCAGGTCCTTCTCCACCAGGCAGCTTTCCAGCCACTCTTCCTCGAGCCTGTAGCGCTGCATGGGGTTGGTGTGGCCCAAGGGCAGAACTCGGCACTTGGCCTTGTTGAAGCTCATACCATTGGCCTTGGCCCATCGATCCAACCTGCCCAGGTTCCTCTGTAGAGCCATCCTACCCTCAAGCAGGTCAACACTCCCACAGGTTGTTTCAGTAAGGAACTCCTGGATATCTGAGTGCCGGGAGACTGAAAATCCGCAGAGCTGGATGGGCCAGTTTCCTGAGGAACTGATGGCTTTAGATGTTTGGCTGTACATTGTGTTTGGCTGAAGTCCTTCCTGGGGAAAAGGTGCTTCGTTGTGAAGAGAACTTAAAAGTATTTTGTTTGAGGGGGTAAATTAGCCGATTCTGACATTTAACTTTCTACTTTGGGGTGTGAACTACGCGATGCAAATTCTCAAATTCAGAGCTGTTTCAGAATAAGAAAAATGGTGTGGTTTTTTTTTTTACTTTCAAACATTTTCTGTAAAGCTAATGAAAATGTAATGAAAATTGCTTTACACAGAAAGCTGAAGTGAAAAACTGCGTCTTCAAAAAAATACCTCTGTTTATGAAACATCAACATTCAAAGAACAGTTGAAAAATGTTGTTCGCCCCCGCTTCGTTTTAGAGTCTTAATTCTCAAGAAGGGTACAAGAAGTTAAACTGCCTTTTTTCTTTTTGAAACGAGATGCCACGATTTGGCTCTGAAATGCATGAGTCGCGCATTTGACTTGTTTGAAATAAAGAATATGAAATGTTTGAATAAAGTAGCTCTAACCTAAACGGCTGCCTAGAGGTATCTGTGCCGCAATTGAAATCCCTGCGTTGTGTCAGATGTAAAAATTATCATTTGAAGGCGATGGGTTCTTTGGATGCTCTGATCTCCTTTGGTGCCTGAGAATCGCTACTGTTCGGAAGTTCGAGGAGTTGCAGTGTTGCTACATTATCCAGCTTCTCCTTTCAAGGCCTTAAATCATTATTTTATCTTTGGGGCTTGTAAGAAACTCTTCTGTCATTTGTTTTTCAAACAGCACGGTTGAGGAATAGCTGCTGGAAGTAACTTTGGCTTCTGCGTTAAAACAAAGTTTGGGAGTGGAGTTGGGGGTAAATGGGAACTTAACCTGACTTACAGTGGCACTACTGGTGCAATCTGTTTCTTCTTTGTGTGAGTAGCGACTTTTCAGTGCATTTTCTACAACCTTTAAACAAGACCCGTGCTTTGCAATCTCAGGGAGTTGAATGCAAAGGACTTCTAAAGTTGCTGGGTGTTTCGGACTGGTAATGTATTAATTGGACTTCCTTGAAGGTGCAACAGGTTTTCGGAGTGTTCTAATGTCTTCGTAAGAATTCAGCTGAAAGCACGTAAAATACCAAGGACACACATATGGCACCAGTTATTGCAAAGTGTTAATTCTTCTTTTTATTGCCTTTTCCAAGGTTTACAGTGGGAATGCTTCACAACTGTGCAGTGTCTTTTGTTGGAGTTTACATCATTTTGTATTATTACTGCTTTGTTTCTACCCTGTCCTTGTTGCCTTCCATATAAACTGCCATCTATTATATTGCAAGCCTTTTTATTGGGGGGGGAAATAGTAACTTGTCTCTTTCTGCTCTCAAAAAGACAAGCTACTGTGCAGCTCCTCTGAAGAGACTTGCGATATGGTAGTCACCAGGTAAACTCAAACAAAAGGCATTTACTCATCTAGCCTTTCCAGTAAAATTAGGCTTGTAGAGGGCAAATAGACTTGGAGTGATTAATACTGCTTGAAGTAATGATTTTTACCTGGGAATACCTGTAAATATCTCACTCTATTATTTCATTTTTTAAATGGTGTGTTATTTAAAGCAGCTTCAACGCCAGAGCTGCACATCCAAGAGTTAAAATTCACGTCTTATTTTTGCAGGAAGGAGACAGATTATTGCCAGAATCTACTAGTACATCACTAAAAAAGTAAACCTTTTTCTTAAATAATCTGTGAGCACAGAGACAACTCATACAATCAGCTGTCAGGATCCTGTGGCACTTGTAAATAGAGCAGGGAAGAGACGAGTTGTCCTACTGGAAATTCTCTTGTGGGTCATCTTTCATTTTCCTGCATCATTTTAAGATCTCTGTTGTAGCCTTAGGCTGAAAGTGGAGAGCGCTAGGAGATACTCTGTTTAAAACAGGATGAGGCGCATCGGTGCTCTTGGAAGGGCTCAGAAATGAAATTGCATGTGAGCTCTGCATGTAACGCTGGGGAACCTGATTGGAGTTTTTTGGGGCAAATATTTTAATCTAAGCTCGAACCTTATGAATAATAAAATGGAATAAGTAGAATAGTAATTTATACTTTTTTATTTATTTATTTATTTTATTTTGAATCCCAGAATCTCAGGTTCCAGACCAGCCAAGCTCTCTTCACGTCAGGCCCCTGACAACGAGTATCGTCATGAGTTGGACGCCGCCGCTGAACCCCAACATTGTCGTCCGCGGGTACATCATCGGCTACGGCGTGGGCAGTCCCTACGCTGAGACTGTGCGGGTGGACAGTAAACAGCGTTATTATTCCATTGAAAATTTGGGTGAGTTTTCATTCATTTCATTTCACGAAAGAGGAGGTTCCTCTGAGACTATGCTATTTTTGCGGGTTTATTTTCAGGCTGTCGCTGGGGCTTCCTTTGCATGTTGCTTTCTTAGGCAGTTTCGGGATTCCGTTTTACATTTGGTCTTACCTCCAAAACTCTCAACGCTCTCAAATATGTCAAATTTCTTTGATCGAATGCTCATTTTTTTCAGAAGATCTTATTAAGTCGTGTGCTCCTAATACTCACTCCCACTCGTGAGGAGAGACAGACCTAAAGATGGTATTCCTTGGGCTGCCCCCTCCCGTGTTTGAATTTAACAGCAGTCGCAAACCTCCGATTTTATGTCTGTCAAAATGGTGCCGAGAGAGAGGTGATTATTCATTATTCATGGCACAGCCTCTGTGACAGTTCATCTACATTCTCAGCATGGTACGCAGGGACCCGGAGCCTTCCAGCGGCGATGGACCGTTCTCTCAGCACTGGGGAAACAGTTCAAAGTTTAAAGGAAGTCAAAAAGTTTAACGGTTTCCTCGTTATTTCTTCTTTAGCACTTTTATTCCGGGTTAAAAAAAGGTAAGCTTTCTGCGTAGTAATCTGGGAACGATCAGATATTACAGGCAGATTCATTAACGTGGTGCGTTAGGGGTGCACAGCTAGACTAGTTATCTCAGTTCTATAGGACCAAAACTCTGGGATATCTGGGGACGCTTTTCTTTGGCACTGCTATTTTACAGCACCGTGAAACCGCGTCATCCAACCTTTTTGCTTTTTCCTTGGGGAAACCCGGAGAGTGGAATAAACTGGTTTTACTGTTGCTTCATCAAACAGCGTCTCTACGTCCAGATGTGTGTTTCATGATGGAGGTATTTGCAACGAGCCATGCATAAACGCTCCCAAATATTTTCTGGGTTCTACAGAAAAATGCTAATTTGGTAATGTTTTGTGTAAGTGTGAAGTTATTGTGCAAAATGGAGAGATGTCTGACTGGATTACGGAAGAAATTTGGGGGAATATGAAGAGAAAAGCTATTACTAATGAACGTGTGTGTCTTATAACTAACAGTCAGGATTAAATGCAAAGTATTTTTTTTTAATTCCCAAAGGGATTTAAATTCTCCCAAGCTTATTTTAAGTTGTTTCATAGCTTGAATGAGTTTTCAGTTGAGTCTTTCAATACTGTTGACCCAGAAGTACTAGAAAAGAAAATTATATGGACAGAGCTATCAAGGCCAATGCTTTGGCGAAAGCTAATTCCAATTTTATACAGTTTGGAATGGTCAGCTCTCACTAAAAGTGTTTTGATTAACAACTGGAGAAATGTCTTGGGTTTTGTGAAGCTTTAGTGTTTGTTTTCCTTCATGTATTAAATGAGCAGTGAATATATTTGCTGATAGGACCTCTGACAGCCGCTCCCATCAGGTGGAAGACAGGCTAGGAACAACTTGGAGATAGAAAAGCCTTCTCATGGGGTAACCACGCTTGGTATTTGTGGAAAGGTGATGGTATACTTCAGCTATTAGAATGGTTTCTGTGGATTAAAAGGGTTCTTCTATATTCTCAGCTGTGCTGGCAGGCAGAAGTACATAGGAAGTCCAGAAAGTCAGGGAGGGTGTTTCACTAATATACTTCAATTACAGAAGTAACACTCAGACATCCAGAAAATGTCAAGAAACTCTTTTGGGCGTATCAGATATTTAGTTACAAATAATTCGATCACCGAAATCAGGGCTGGATCCTTCTTTTTTGCTGAACATCCTCCAATAGACTGAGGTTTCCTGAAGGTTATTAACTATTCAAATGGAAAGTATCTTTTCATTGTACATTTTGGGGTTTGATTGCGAATATTCAAAATGTGAGTAGAGTAACTTAATTGGCATTGTCCAGATAAGCCGTGTGTGTCTGGTCTCTCACTGAATAAGGATACAAGCACTTTGGTCACCAGTTCTGACATGTGCGCATTTGAAATTCAACTTCTGTGAACATTTACATGTACAGCTTTGAAAATCAATTTCCAGGAATAATTGCACTAATTAAATTCCATCATTTAAATATCCACAGAAAATGAACCCCATAGGGACGTGACCAAGGGTCCAGAGAAAGCTTTTAAAAAATTGGAACAGTTGCCAACACTTCTTACATTATTCACCCACTTTATTAGAAACCATTACAAGAAAATTACGCAAAATGATGAGACAGAATTCTTTTCCTAATAAAAATACTGTTTTCAATAAGGCTATGAATCAAAATGTGCTGCTGGCAGGAATGAGGGGGGAAAAAAAAATATTTCCTAGATGTTATGTGGACTCATCCCACCTGTTGTGAAATTTCCTATGAAGCCTATGAATGAGTGGTATACGTGATCTTAAATGTACTATGCGGAAGCGACAATGAAGTCTAATACCTGAATAAATGATGAACTTCAGTAGAAATTTCCTATGAAGCCTATGAATGAGCAGTATATGGGATCTTAAATGTACTATGCGGAAGTGACAACGAAGTCTAATACCTAAATAAATGATGAACTTCAGTGAGTTTTTCTCTCCCCTCCGAAGACCTCATCCCTTTTGATCCTCGTGGCTTTCAGCGCTGGCTTCCTCTTGGCTCCCCAGCTCTCCTTTGTCTCGTTAGCCGGAGACTGCGGAGAGGTCGCCCCGCTTCGCCTCCATCCAGCCTGTGATGTGTCGAGCTGAGAAATTGGGTTTTTGCAGCTTCCCGAGGTTCACTGCAGTGCTTCTTTGTATTGTTCCTTTGTAGGCTATTTTGAAGCACACTGCAAACCTATGTAGCATTTAGATTCTGGAGCGGTAGATGCTTTCGTTAAAGAGCAATCAGATTTGTTTGACATCAGCTGCCTTTCAGAAATCCTGCCTGGCTCTCACTTACAGTCACCATTTTTGCACGCAGATGCACCAAACCCGGTACTCCAGGTCCATTTCAGGCTTTATTTTACTTCTAGAAGCTCATGCTGTAGTCCTGAGAGAAATTATGGAGAAGAATTCTGTTAGGGCTAGTGTCCTGCCGGGTTGAACAGGGCCTGACGCTGTATGTGCACGCCTGATCTTTCTCCTGGCAACAATTTTCTCCCCTCTGTGTTCAGATCTGCACAAAAGCACCTCCTGAACATCTTTCCAGAGACCTTACAGTTGAGGGGTTGAGAAGAGGGACACACATGGGTATTGAAAGCTGAAGCTAACAGCCCCCGGCCTGGCCCACCGCCTTTACTCCCTTCCTGGCATCCACCGTCCGGCTGCCCTGGAAATTCCTGCCTTCTCGATAGAATCATTTAATGGTTTGAGTTGGAAGAGACCTTAAAGATCATCCAGTTCCAATCCCCCCTTCCGTGGGCAGGGACACCTCCCACCAGCCCAGGTTGCTCCAAGCCCCGTCCAACCTGGCCTTGAACACCTCCAGGGATGGGGCAGCCACAGCTTCTCGGGGCAACCTGCCCCAGGGGCTTACCGCCCGCACAC